GCGCCTGGCTCAGCCCGTCCACGAAGACGCCGCGCTTGCCCGATTCCCTCACAGAGAGGGAAGCGTCCGACGGCTCGAGCAGGTCGCGCACATTCTCCTTGTAGATCTCGAGGTAGGAGCAGGTGAGCCGGTGCGTCGCGGCGCCCGCGTCGGACCGGATCCACTCAAATATGTGCCGCACCGCGCGTTGCAGGATGCCGGGGTCTCGCGCAGTGCCAGTCACGCTGTGCGTCTTGCCAGAGCCGGTCTGCCCATACGCGAGCACCGTGCCGTTGTACCCCTGCAGCACCGCCTCCACGATGGGAGAGACCTGCGCGTACGTCTCCTCTTGCGACGCGTGCGGCGGTAGCACGCCGTCAAAGGTGTGGCTGCTCGCCGCCGTCTCCACGGACAGCCCATCGTCCCCAAAGCGAACGTCGCCGTCAACCGAGGCGCCAGGCCGCGCGGGGCGGAAGCGAGCGACGACGCTGATGGAGGTCTCGCCCATCTGCGGGTTGCTACCTCGGCCCATCTCTGGGACGGAGGGCGGTGGCACAAGCACAAAGCGGCGCGCTGTCGCGGGGCTGTGGGCTGTGGGCTTGCTTGTGTGTCCGCTCCGACGCGTCCGGTCAAATGGGGAGTGCTGGTGAGAAAAAATCGCCAGGTGCCAACCAACAACGACATGCATTGGCGGCAAATGATCGGAAAGGGGGGTCAGAAATGTGGTCCTCGCGCGATGAGAGCTCGATAAACTCGAGGGGCCAATTACGCTGACAGGAGAGCGGAGTTACGCCGACCGAGATGCGAGCGAGAGAAAGAATTCTACGAATACAAGCAAGCCCCTCTCACAGCAGACTGGCACGGACTAGCACCATAAAAGGCACAGCAGACAACGGCCCCTTATGGGCCGTCGAAGAGGCCGTCATACTCCTCCGGCCTCGCCCCCCTTCCCAACCCTCCCCTGGCTCAGCCTCAGGCTCCTCATCCTCGCGGCGCGCAGTGCGCACCCCGCCCCGCGAAGACGAACCCTTCCGCCGGCGTGCCTCGCGGGACTGCCGCCCGCGGCCGCCGCCCTCCCCCCCCCCCCGCCGCCCGCGCCGCCTTCTCCGCCGCCCGCGCGGCCGCCTCCGCCTCCTCAGCCGCTAACAGCGCCTCCCTTCGCGTGACCCCTATGGGCCCCGCTTGCGCATCCAGGAGAGGTCGCGCGAGCGACCTATCCAGGGGTTACTCGAATACGGCGCGACGTTGCCGCTGCGCAGCTCCGAGTAGTCGCCGAAGCCACCCCCCAATATGCCCTCCAGGCAAGCGTCGCAGACCCACTCGCCTAACTGAGAGATCTGAAGCCCATAGGCATCAGGACCCTCGCCGCGCCGAGAGAAAGAAGCCGAGCGAGAGAGCGAGGGATCGACAGGCAGCGGCGGCGTCGCAGAACGAGGCCGAGGAGAGCGATGAGTCAGAGGATGAAACAGCAGGAGAGAGAACGACGAGAGTGAGAAGACCGCGAGGCGGCATGAAGGCTGCGGCGAGAGAATTGGCGAGAGACTGCCTAGAGACTGCACGGAGAGAGAGAGATAGGAAGAGGCAGACGCTCAAGGGTGGGCGACGGCTAGCACCCTAGCTAGCACCACACTCTTCTCCTTAAAGTCCCTGTTTTCCCGTTCTCCCATCCCTCCCTTGGGTTGTCTGTTTCTCGTTCTTTCTTTCTCGGCTCCCGTAGAGCGTAGTCGGTACCTGTGTTAGAGTGTTAGTGCCAGTGCGCGCCTGCCAGTCCCGTGCCCAGTGTCGTGCGACGGAGCTTTCTTGTAAAATTCTTTCTTTGTCCACCAAGCCGTTATTTGTGTGTTTGCTATTGATTGGCAGATTTGTTTTGTTTGATTGCTCTGGGGGGGCGCGGGGGCCCCCGGAGGCACCGTGCGCCGCGCCGCAGTGCGGAAACGGGGCTCCGGCTCTATTAGTCTCTATTAGCACCAACTTCCCGATTAAACACGGTTAAATAGAGGGCAGATTTGGAGAGATCTTGAGGAGTACATACAGATAGACCCTCCAATCAGAAAACTCCGACCTGATCGGTCGTACTGACCGCCGACAGATCACTCCACAGACAGCAGACAGGCCGACGTCTGCACGCGGCCGGCCGGGCAAGAGGCTTGACACGATCCGACCCTGCGACCCTGACGCCGCTGCTCTAGCTATCAGACATGCACTGCTGACTGCTGCCACAATGTGCAAACCTGTGCTGGCCCACTTGGCGGCCTTCCCGGTCAGTGGTGAGGCGCAGTTCAGAGCTGTCGATGGCGCGATGCCGCACTGGTCCCACATTGGTGACACTAGACCACCAAGTTTGCCGGTCCAAGAGAGAGGCACCGGCGCTGTCCTGAGAAGGTGCGTGGTCCCTCTTGACTGCCCATGCGCGCGAGGCTGTGTAGGCATAGCCTCGAGAGTGCCAGCAGCCAATCCGAGGCGACGCGCATTGCGCCAGAAGCGTGCACACGATGGAAGGACACCTTCCTACTGGCCGTACGATCAGGTCGTCACTGAATGCTTGATACTAAGGCCGCGAGCTATGCAGGTGATCAATTGTGCAGCATGGCACGGTCAGCAGCGCCGAAAGGATGTCGCAAGGCGTGATAGCATGGCCGCAAGTACGCCGAATTCCCATGAACAAGTAAAAAATCGAGAAAAAGAAATCGCCAAAACATCGGCGCCTGCGGCGGGCCATGGGACCCCATCTCCCCCCCGCATGGACACCCTCTGGGGCCCCCGCGCCGGCCCAGAGTTTGATTGGTTGAACGGAGAGAATGTGTTGCGTGAAGAGAGAATGAGAGAGAGAGTGCCGGGGTTTGCTCTCTGGCCTCTCTCTCTCTCTCTCTCTCTCTCTCTCTCT